AAGGAGAAACCCACACTCCTACCAACACTGGCAGGGCAAGATACTGTATATAAACAGGAAGCAAAACCCACACTCACTTGCACTGATGATGTTACCAAGTTGGGTAATGAAACGTCTGCAAGCAAACAACCAAGCTCAGAGAGCACCAAGGACTCTACAGACAGAGGTCAGCTCAACTAGGGATATAGCGTATGGATCAAAATGATTTCAAGAAAGAGATTCTAACCTAATCCTGATTTTCTATATGTAGAAACTGTGCAGAAATGGGGAAGACGTGATTATACAGTCATTTTTTCCCAAGAACATTTTTGTATTGATCAGATCTCAGTAATAACTCAGATGAAGTTTTCCAACTGAAGTAGTTCATGAATCAAAAAGTCTTTGGATATAGATGATAGTACAGACCAAAAAGAGATTCAAGCTGACCCAAGGGAGATGAAATTCAAAAGTTTACTACATTGCAACATCTATCTGACATTCAAATTAATGCCTAAAACATCAAGCAATTAATTATAACTGTCCTACTTTTGCCATGGATTCACTAGATTATTTTTAACTTCAGCATTCCTATCTGAAATATGGGCATAATATAATACCAGGCTTCCTTGCAGTGGCCCATAAAATTAAGAACATGTGTGCAGCACATGAATATAATGTCTGTTGTTCCTGCTTCAAAGATAATTCATTCTTATCCTGATATTCTGTCAATTAAAATCAGAATAGTTTGAAAAAGAATTGTGAAAATATTTTATCCATGTTTGATAAGAACTAAGAGACTTCATGGAAACTTAGATTATTTCCACATCAGCTATTTTCTTTTTATTGCCTTCCCTTCTAATTTGTATGTATCATTAGAATTTTATATGAGGGAGTTAATACCCTACACACACACACACACACATATCACATGCACATATATATTATGCACACATAAATACCTGTACCTCAAAAAATTACCTTGAATTTGTAATATTGCACCATTGCTATAACTAATAAACTTGATCCAGTGCGTTGTGTGCCAGAAAGAAAATGCATTTTGCAAAAATAAATTAGTGTAAAGAGAAATTAAAAAAGAATATGTTCAGAGATACAATGGCATAAATTCCCTATGAAAAAAAAGGGAAAAAAATAAGAAGCTTTCTATGAAGGAAAGAGGAAGAGTGAGTAATCTTAGGATACCTTGCAAACTACAAGGTTTTTGTGTGTACTCTTTCCAAAAGCGTGAAAAATATTTTGCATTGTTGCACCATGAACAGCGACCTCACATGGTTTTCAGCCTGAAAACATATCTAATGAAAAATACTTCATAAATGTATTTGTGCCTTTTCTTTTACCCTCTTCTGTAATGCAGTAAACAAAGAGATGTTCAAAATAAGTAAGTGGAAAGTAGGTCAGCACACACTGACTATAGCATGAGAAGGTAAACTCAGATTTCATTACAGCTGGAATGAATGTCCTTTGATACTCTGTTCATGAGGCTTCCCTACCAAAAATGCTCCTTTGTATTTAACTATTGAAAGAGTTTTCTAAGTTCAAAATTTTCTTTCATCAAAATGGAGACAAGTCAATAATCATTTCAAATTGATTTCCTGCTTATTCACAGTGATGGCAGCAATTATCAAATACCTGACCAGAGATTTCTCCAGAAGACAAAATGATTATGTGCTTCCCTTGACATTGGAACAGGCAACTAATGGGTGGAAACCCTGTTGATAACAACTAGTCTTTAGCCATTAGAGATTTCTACTTAACTTAGGAGGCTGTCTTATATTCTCTTATTCAAATTCGTTGCCTATTCTTATTTGCCTTAACTGGCAACAGCTCTCTTTACAAGGAAAGTGTATCATCTGTTTGTGATCTATGATCTTTTCCCAAAGATATAGTCTCCCTTGTCCTCCACCCCCTTCAGTGGTTCCAGGAGAATTTGAGTCAATAGTCATAGAACTAAACACAAGGAAGGAACAGCCAATGTTATACAGAGATGTTTTTACTAAGACAAAGCAAATGTAAGGAAACTGGGACTGTCAAGAAGCATCATTTAGGGCACTGAAGACTTATAATGTCCTTTTCACCTGCAAGAAGGGAGATGAAGACAACAAGAGCACTGTATATTTCCCACATGGTTGGTTGTGAGTTCTTCTTCCATCCATATTTATCCATAAATGCCTTAAATACTACCACTCCATACCTTGATTAAAGGCAGCCATGATGCAGTTCCAGTGTAGGCCTTATCATCTTCAGGGAAACAATTATGTTATAATATTCTACTCCTTCAAAGGATAGTTACATTAAAACTGCAATCCCTTTGTTCTGCTTTGTTGTGCAAGTTCTTATGAAAACTACCTGAGAAGCAGATTCTGGCCCTTATCAGAGTTAAAATATGGTATATATGGCTTCAGTTTGTTATAGCCACATTTTATTTATTTGTTTGTTTGTTTGTTTGTTTATTTCCCAGGATAAGGGGGAACTGCAGTGGACTGAACCTTCTCCCATTATGTCCAATGAGAAAGAAGATATTGGAAAAAAATTACACACACACATACACCAGTAAAAGATGAATAAAGAGTTGGTGGAATGGCCAGCCCCCATCTCTCTTTCTCAAGCCAAACAAAACTTCAGCTCTGACAGTTCGCCTTTCACAGTTTCTCCCTCCTATTGTACAGGACTGTTGTCCAGGTTTTACAAAGCAATGTCTTATCAGTGATGTATCACTTAACATGGAATCATTTTCAAGCTCCCTTGAGGATTGTATGATGGTAAGAGAAGGAATCTTAAAAATTAAAAAAATAATAATAAAATTGCATATCCATGAAAGTGCATGCACCAGGGGAAAAATATGGAATTAACCATCCCCTACTACAAACCTACATGAAAAATACTGGATTTGGAATTAACAGTGCAAACTGTAATTTCAACTAGAAGTTGAAACAAACACACTAGTTTTAAGGTTAATGCAGACTGCACTAGGATTATTCTCTACATATATAAGCCCCCGCACGCACGCACACGCGCGCACACACACACACACAGATGATAGATGATTTATAGATAGATGATAGATAGATAGATAGATAGATAGATAGATAGATAGATAGATAGATAGATAGATGATTGATAGATGATTGATAGATGATTGATAGATAGAGATAGATATGCTTCTTGCAGATTCGCTTTAAGTAGCTTAATGAAGAAAGTGAGATTTGGGGATAAAAGTTTTATTTCTTGTTATAACCTAGATTTTACTCCCAATATAAATTTCTTCAGCTAAGAAAATGTGAATACAAACACAGAGAGAGAGAGATGGACTGATAAAGATATAGATATACAATAGGTAGGTATTAATATAAAGATTCAAAAGAACTATTATCAATGCTCCTTGTAATCCATATGCCTGAAATATTATTATTACCATTTGCAGAAAATTCAGGGAGAGGTCAAATGAAACTGCCATGGACAGTGAGTATTTAACTTCTTCAACAATTTCTATTTCAGAATTACAGAACTGACTTAGAGCTTCTTCAGGCATTTTGTTTTCTCCCATGAAAAAATGCTGGTTGCTATTATTGTTGTTGTTTACATAATTGCAAAATTTAGTAGTAATCCTACATTACATTGTCTAGTGGAAAATTTCATAGAATGCAATGAGGCTAACTTCAATGAGATTTACACACACAAAATGCATAGGACTCTACTGTAAGTCACTCTTCTTGCCAAAATGCATCTTTCCCACCCCAACAAAACATATACTCCAGTGACCAGACCCCTTGCCCAACATAAGCATCAGCCTTGCCCAACCTTATGTATTTGACTACAACACCCATCCTCTCAAACAGCATTGACAAAGTCTGGCTGGGTTCATAGAAGTAAATGGAGATAATGTGAGTTGTGTTCAAGACATCTGAAGGATGCTGAATTGGGGAAGGTTTGCTTGGGGGCAAGGAAGGATCTATCTTTTCTTTTCAGTTTTTCCTACTAATATTCTGCAAATCACCATTAGCTAAAACAAGAAAAACAATTATGGTTTTGCTAATAAAAATAATAATAGAGATATAACGGGAATATAATAATATGGCAAAATCATCATATCTATCAAGAAAGTAAGAGGCTTTCCTGTGGCTCTTGAGTTGTTGGATTACAAATTCTATCATCCCCAACCCCATAATGTTTCCTGAGAGTTTAACGTATTTAGAAGTACAACATGGGAAGACTGCAATAAAAGTTCTGATTAGAACTCTATCTTTGTTGAAATTACCACTTTCTTCAGTTTCTAACATATTCCATTCAAGTTCAGAAGTACAAAAGTGTTTTTACAAACACTTTAAGAACTTTAGGGCCAGTTCAATCCCTGCATATCTCTCTCCTGGACCATTCCCTATCCAGGGGACAAGGGAAAGCCGAAGAAGAGGAAGAGACGACTTACCACTTGAGCGTCTGACAATGTTCTCCAAAAACGTGTTCTGTGGTGCCACCAGCCCCCTTTTGCCCCCCGGCATCCTCCTGTGCCTGCAGAGCTGGGCTCTGGAGCCAAGAGGTCGCAGTGGGGCGGGCTGGGAGGGTCTCGGAAGGTCTCTTGAGCCCAGTGCCGTGGAGTAGCTATGGGAAGATTGATGAGGCAGTTCATGGTAGTAGCGCTCCAGCAGCTGGTAAAGCCCAGACTGTGGCAAGGCTGCGCTCACAGCTCAGAAACTGCAGCCTCTGAGGAGATTGCGCCTGCGCGCTTGACCCGCTGTTGCTCTTGCCACCGCTACTGCCCCAGCGGGCAGGCAACATGACCAAGCCTGCTTTCCGAAGCGACTGCTCCCGAGCCTGCTGCAGTTGGATGGAGGATCAACCTAAACCAATCGGGATCTCAAGGCTCCTAAACGCAACTCAGAAGATTCCGGGAAACAGGGAGACAGGGATTGTGAACGGCGTAGAGCAGCTCCCTTAGAAATGAAGGAACAATAAACAAATTGTCCGACTTTTCGGTTTTCAAAAGACGGAGAAAGAGAAACGATGCTGCGGTCCGAGCCAAGCTCACCTCCACCTTCCCGAGAGAAAGTTTTCAAAGTGGCCCAATCCCAAAAGGTTCCACCGAGAAGTTCAGAACCCTGGACAGCTCCCACCTTGCCTGCCGCGGGCTGTAAAGAGTCGGCTTTGGCCCAGCGCCTTTCCGTCTGCTTCGCACACTGTTTCTCCACCGCTGCCCTCTTGAATCTGGAGTCGGCGGCGCCCCTACGTCGAGCCAGGGAAGGGCTGAGCGGATGCGACGGGGCTGCGCGATGAGGCTCTGCACACCTGCTTGGGACTCAGAGCAAGAGCGGAAAAAGCCTGGCGGAGAAGCCCGCTCCACGCGCAGAGAACACACCAGTCTCACCCGCGGAAAGGCCGATCGCTGAAGTGGAGGGGACGGTTTCCGAAAGCAGCGGCCGCTCTCCAGGGGCGGGGCTGAGCTGTCCGGGTGATCCGCTCCCGCGTGGCCCTGCCTACCCGGACTCCTTGGGCTGGTGGCTCAAAGTTCTCGGCGGAGCGGCTCCGCCGAGGCGAATACAGCCGTGGTGCCGCTCTCCACCAGGAAGGAATAAGGCTAAATAATTTATAAGAGCCGGGTGTTTGTTTCGGAAAGGGGAAAAATGCAGAGATGGAGGCGGATGAGCGGAGAAATGAAGGGCTGGTGGGGGCGGGGGCGGCAATTGGGTTCACTCGGATATAGATGACGGAGAAGGAGGAGAGTAAAGAAAGGAACAACTTTCGGGAGAAAGTTGGAAAGGAGCGATCGAGACACTGGAAAAGACCCTTCTTCGGAAGGAAATCGACGGGGGTTCTTTGTTTCCTGAATTCCTTCATCCTTAGCCCACGATCGCTCAGTGGGAGCTCCATTTCCGGAGCAAGGTGACTCTGACTATCAAGTGTAGTGAAGACGACCTAGGAGCAAGGGCTAGATCACTTTCAGACTCTGTTTGGGGGCTTCTCTGACTGACTTTTGTCACAGTCTGGCTCCTTTGTATAATCCATATTTTAAGTTCTGGATATGGGGGCAAGAGGAGAAATATACTTTATTTTATATTTGGGGGGATGGTCTATTCAAATAAACAGGTAATGCTGTAGAAACAGTTCAGTCTTCATCTTTTGCACATTTACTGAGGACTTGCTGGTTTTCACAGTATATCCTCACAAGTAAGGCTATGTGCTCCCTAGCGATTTATAGATAGAGCCTCACACAACCACTACTGTGGCAACATAAAGCCTATCCTCATTCCTGATATATTGGCACAGAGATGGCTGGATTATTGCTGAAATCACTAGTGAGGAAATGGTGTAAGTCTTCACAGAGGTGTTTTCTTCAAAGCAGTATGCAGTGTAATGGGATTTGCTCCCAAGTAAGTGTAGGATGGCTTGAAGCCTCAATGGCCTATTTATGACATGAATTTCTCCTTCCTTATCCCTGCCCAGCCTCCAAGTATACTGTACAAAGTGTCAGAATTGCCTTTCCTTTCTTTGACTGAGAAAGTCTACTAAAGTCCATCAAACAGTATCTAGACTCTCACATTGGCTTAAGACTTGTCTCATTCTACCTCATTCTCCATCTCTTGAAGAGTTATTCCCAGCTTCCCACCATGAAGGAGAAGATTTTAAATCTGACCTCTTGAAGTCAGGTTCTCAGTGCTAAAGGGACCATAGAGAGTAAATCAAAAGAAGAATGTCCTCCTCCTTTTCCTTCTCAACCTGCAGGAACAGGTTGCTTGCTTATACAGAGCAGCTCCCAGGATTTCAGATTCTTTTTTCCTCCCAGTTGTACCAGGAGCAGGCAAGAACTGACCCTGGGATATTCTGTACTCTGTCATTAACCATAACAACTTAATGTTCTGCTTACAGTAACAAGTTTCACTAAAGACCTAATGACTGAAAGTACACAGCACCATTAGTTCTAGCTTGGTTTATTTTGGGGTGTTTTGACTCATTGTGTCAACTCAATCCATTTGGTTAGTTTATGTTTCCTGGAAGTCAGAAAATGGATTCATTTAGAAACAAATACATGAACACTGTCATGCACGTACCTGGCAGCCTAAAGCACCAAATCAGAGAGTTCTTACATTGTTACTTCTTTATTTATTTTTTGCTTGCAGACTCTCTTGATAGTGTGTTGAACCTGGACTGGAGAGAATGATAAAAGTTTGATGCTCCATTCTAGATATAATTATTATATGCCTGCAGTCTCTTTCAGGGCATAAGGAATGGGTCAGTCCTGGTGGCTTTTTTAATTTGTCTATTAAAAGCAATATTTTGCTTTTTGCCTCTAGATAAGACATTTATTTAACTAAATGCATTTTTATGTCCTTTCAGAAGCTCATTGTATTTCTGATATGGCCATTTGCAGGGGATCAATGCATTGCAGTGATATTTTGGTGCCATTCTTTTTACTACAGTATTTTATGTATTGTTTGGTACATTTGACCAATGCACTAATTAGAAGAAAAAGTGTGTGTGTGTGTGTATGTATGTAATAAAATTTCCCAGTGGCATAATATAACTATAGGAAAGAAGGATAAAGAGAAGTAATTTGTGGACATGTATTTATGGAGCCTTTTCAAAGCACTGGAGTAACACAGTTATGCTGTTTGCAAAGAGGATCATCTGCTCCTTCTCCCAAATAACTGGTAAGTGCAAAAATAGCTTTAAAAAAGAGCCTATGAGAAGCTGGAATAGAACTCAAGTTGAACTACACTACTCAGTAACAAAATCATATGCTTCCCTTTATATGTATATTCTCCACTGTGCATTTATATAAATTGTGTAAATTTATTTTGAGGACTTTTTACTGTGCCTGCAATAACTAACTGGATAAAAATCAAGCCTCAGAAGCAGAAGATTCAAGGATGCACATTGTTGTATATCATTTTTCTCATTGTTTCTAATGATAAGTACAATACAGATAGTTCTTATTTAGCAACTGCCTAGTTTAGCAACCGTTCTCAGTTGTGACAGTGATGAAAAAGTAACTTTGCGCCAATCCTCATATTTATGACCTTTGCAGGTCTGTAAAGCAAAAGAAAGCTGAAGAGTAAGTACAGTCCCAGTTTCACTTAGCAACCTCTTTGCTTAATAACCAAATTGCCAGTCCCAATTGTGGTTGCTAAACAAGGACTACCTGTACAGCTTGTTAGAAAAAGTAAAGCATTCATGCAACTTATATAATCAAAAGCTGCTATGCTGCCATCAGAGAATGTTTCCATTCTGCTCTTACTTGAAAGTATCCATGTCATTCCTACATTACTTTGCACCACTCTCACGATAGTGTACTAGTATTCCTTACTGGCAATACTCAAACTCCCTTTGCTTAATATTTTATATATGATCAGTCACTAACTTTTGTCCAAGAGGCTGTAACCTACTAGCTTTGGACTAATAAATGGTCAGTGGATCCTCTCCAGTTTATTGGTTTCCATGGAGAGTGCTTTACCTTAACAGAGACCATGTATGCAGTCACAGAATCTGGAATAAAGTGATGAAACGTAAGCAAGGTATTTCTCATCCTGCCACGAATTTGTGCAGAAGAACTTTGTTCTATGTATAACATGATTTTTCAGATCTCCGCAACTACTCCCAAATCAGGGAAATGCAGAGATCATAGCAGAGAAAGTATCTAGGTCTAGTTAGAATATTTTACATTTTATCAAACTCTTTTTTAAGAATAATATGGAAAGAGATGATTATCAAATTTAAATCAACTTTAAGTAAAGTAAGAATTATTACCCCGCTGACAAATTTTGCACAAGAAACTGAAAATACTTTTCCTCATTTTTCTTTTTTGGGTGACATGCAAATTTGAATTATTCCAAAGCTTGCCAGTTAATTGGCAACAAGAATTGGTTTTGGTTTAAGTTTAAACCAATTTTTATTCTTTTGGAACTGCCCCTCAGTGACACCAAGAATGAAGGTAAATGAATGGAGAGCTGAATTTGAATGCAAAGGCAACATAAGGAATGGAAATAAGTAAGTGATAACTAATGTGCAAATATGCATTAATAAAAAGAAATCATATTATATTAATTTGTAACACTTGTCTACCATTTCCTGTTTTAGAAATCTTGTTTAGCTCAGATCAGAATATTGTCATCCAACTGTCAATAATTAACATGAGTCATCTGTACAGCTCCCTGGAAGGGCTCATAATGCAGATTGTAGCATAATCCTCCTTAGTCCAAGGGAAGAATAGAAGGGAGACTCAGAAGGACGGGCTGTTGTTCCTGGACAGAAGAGATACTGGAGAAATTTTCAGGACTGTGTTTACTATTTGACATTTATTTATTTTAATTAAAATATAATGATAGTAGCAGTGCTGAGTCCCTAAGGTGAAAGGTTGGAAGTCTCACATCTCCTCACTCAGAAACCCTCTAGGTCTACATAACTTAGCTCAGCCTCCTGCCTTGGTACAGGGGCTTGGTCATTCTTATTGCCACCACCTCTCTCCCCGGGACTGACTTTACCTGCCATTCTCTCCATTAAACACAGC